GTGAACCCCTGAGCTGCTAAGGAGGAAGCTACCCCAATGACCCTGAATTGGCTTCCTTTCTTCAGCCTCCCCTCAAGGTGTGGTCACAACAGCAGTGCCCATCTTCTAGGTTCACCCAACCTGCACAGCTGGGCCACTTCTGAGCAGCCCTTTTCAACCCCACTTAATAAAAAGCATTGGTGGCCTTGTTTTGTTGTGAATAAAGGTGCCTCTCTAAATAGTGTTTTTAATTTTGCCACCCTGCTGTGGCAATACCAATCTGGGGGTGGGGGGAGATGGCGGTAGGAAGCATCATGGCTCAAAGGGTGTGGCTTTTCTTGGGTCACACCAAGGGTAGAACCCCCTTTCCCATCCCCAACAGTGGGTTAGCCCTAGGAACATTTGCCCACCAATAGGGGCATGTGGTGGTGGCTGATTGGTTGTCTCTTTGGGGCCCCAGAGAGAAGTGCAGGATGGGGAGGGGAGCACCAGCCCCCACTGGAGGGAGATCAGAAGGGGGCGACACCCCTGCCATGCGGGCTGCAGTTGATGGGAGTTGTGATCCAACTAAGGAGCCCATTCAGATGTTAGGCTGCATTACCCACATGTGGCTTTAACTGATGGGGAACCAGGCCCATAACCCAAAGGGTTGGAGGAGAGACCTGTGTTTTTCTCTCTGCCTCTGCCTGGAGATGAGATCTGTGGGTGTTAATTTATTCCATGCTGCTAATTCGAAAAAGAGCACAAACACAAGGCTGCCGTCCTCGAGCCCATGACTGAGCGCGCCATTTAGACGCAATTAGCCTCCGTTATTAGCATATGTGCCTTTTATTCCTATGGCATATTAATTGCATACTTTGCTCTACAGCTTATTAGTACAATTATAGGCCTTCGCTCCCCATTCCTCAGCCGTCCTGCCTCACTTCCTTTTTATTTGCCAGAACGATGCTCGGCAGTCCCCAAGAAGCTCAGAGCGTAGCGTGATTATTAATTAAGGAATAATGCAGGCCCCTCTCCACAGGGCCCTTCCTCCTGAAGATAAAAATTAAGAAGCATTCCTTGTTTCGTAAAAACAAAAATAAAGTTGTTTTTACAGGACATCGATTCCCTCTCCAATGCAAGGCCTGGTGGATGAATCCACTTCCCCCTTGCGCTAGCATCATCATCATCGGTCTGAAAAAGCAGCACTAGCCGGATGCCCCGTGGAGTCACAAAGCTCATCCTCTATAAGTTATCCTTGAACTGTAGCTTCTAATGCGAGAGAAGTGTGGAATTATTAACGTCTATAGGGAGTTATCGTTACATTAGCCGTATTCATTCAATTGCGGCTCAATTAAAACCATCTAGTGAGAAGATGCTGTGTTATGCCACGAAATCCAACCCGCTGCTCAGCCCTGGATCCAAATGACTCTCCAATAACGTCCAGCCTTTGCTTGAAGGCCAGCAGGGAAGTAGAGCCGAGGGTTTCCCTCAAGTCAGTGGTCCTCTGTTGAGCTGTTCTTACTATTAGGAAATTATTCACGGCCTTCAGCCTACTTAAAATGGTAATCCCATGACCTGGAGATCAGGTCTTGGGACGAGGCAGACCAGGTGCTGACTTTCTTCTGCGTGACGTCCTTCTTCCAGTCAACCTCTGGTCATCTTTGTTGCCCTTCCTGGAACCTGTTTGAGTTTCTTTGAGTCCTCCTTCAAACCTGGTGCCCAAACTGAACCTCACATTCCCTCAGAATCCTGGCTGAAGATTTTCATCCTACCCCCATCCTCGTTTTGGGGTTGGCAAGGGATGGGGAGAGGGGACACGCAGTCCTTGGCCTTCAAACATCTCAATGGTGGTGCAACTACCTTAATTACTGATAATTCAATTGGTGACTTTGAAGGCTTTTCATTTCGTTTCAGCTCTATTGGGTTGGAGCAAATAATCAAACCAGATTCTGGACTGTGGAATAAAGGGGGTCTCTTCTGCCCAGCCTGCTGTAGGAAGGACATCTTTGGTCCTACAAGGTCCAGCTTCAGCCGCAGAAGAATACCGCTTGCTTAATTTTAGCAAAGTTGCTACGTCATGGGCCCTCCCAGGCTCCAGCCCCAAAATATCTGCTCCAAAGGAGCGGGTTGCAAGACCATTTTGTCAGATCAGAGTTTTCCTTACACTGGACTAAATGGCCAAATAATCTGATTTACGTGAAGAACCTTCCTATGTATTTTGTTCCCCCCCACCCCAGTTTTGCTTTAGTAATAGAAGTGCAATGTACTTTAACGGAACAGAAAGGTATCGCCTAAGGAAAAACAGAAATTAAAGCCCATCAGGTGAACAAAATAGCAGAGGAGGAGGAGGAGGGGAAAAACGCCCAGCCGAAATCCGGCATTGCGTTGCCTAGAAAAACACCATCTGGGATTATTCGATCTGGTTCCTTTTAAGTAATTGGCTCCCTGCCAAGGTAATGTGGGAGAACTGCACAGAGCAAGAAACAATCCTCCTCGCCCACCCGCCAAGGCAAGGGACACATTTGAAATGGTGGCCTTGCTGGTTTGCTGCCCCGAAAACATCTGGCAAATGAAGGAAATGAAGGAGATGCAATGTGCGGGGATGTGGCGTTTTTCAAAGGCACCCGCCTGTGCCAGGGAGGATGTTCCCCCGTGGGATGGGAAGCCAAAGACTGGCATCGGGCAAGGCTGATCCTTTCCGGAGCATGAACTGCACCCCCTGTGGTTCACACGGAAAGACCAGGTTTGGGAGAAACCTCGCCATTGGCAGGACCCAGATCTTTGCTTGGGTGCAGGGGGAGGAACGACAAGGGAAGGGGAGCCTGAATGAGAACAGATCGCTTTTGGTTGAGAGGGAATAGTGGCCAAGAATTTTATTTAGGGAGGACCAAGGGCATAGCTGGTTGGCAAGCCTCCTGCAGAGCAGCATTCTCCTTGCAACGTTTTTGGGTGTCCCAACCTGCAAAGGTGAGCTGGGAGGGAGGGCAAAAAGAAGCGACCTGTTCAGACAACGCGGCCTCTGTTGCCAAAACTGGAGGGTGGCTGGTACGAATTCAAGGGCAGGCCCCCTTTCTGAGTAGCAGGTTCACGCGTAGCCTTTCACTTGGGCAGCTCCCATCTGCCTCAGCCACATCGCCTTCTGTCAGGACGCCGGAGCAAAAGGGCAAAGGGCAAGGCCGCCATGGATCTGATCCAGGGCGCAAACGTTTCTGCGGGAAAACGGGAAGCAGCCGATTGGCACGGCAGGGTAGCCTCAATGCTCCTCCGGGCCCTGTCTGAGGGCGGCCGAACATCACCTTTGAGAATTTCGATTTGTAGCGGGGAGAGTTGCAGCCTTGCAGCACGGCTGGACAGAAGGCAACTCTGAACAGACAGCCTGGCCACAGTCTCTCGCTCAGACTCAAACTTATTTAAGCTTCCGTAATGCGAAGCATTATGCGGTTTATGTCAGCCTTGGATCCTTTTCATAAAGAGCCCTCCTCAAACGGCATTGCTCGTCTATGGGTCCCTAGCAGGCCGCTGCTGACTTGTTTTGGGGTTCTTGACCTGAGGGGCACAGGCATAAAATCATATTGGGCAAAAACATCTCGGGGTCGCCTCCTGCACATTGCAGTGCAAGCTGTCGGGGCAAACCCAGCGCGTTGTGGGGCACAGCAGCATAATTTCCATTTGCCATTCTGCAAGAGACTCGAAACGAGGCGCCACTTTCAGCAAAATCCTAACCAGGTTTAGGCTTGCATTGCTTTTTCAGGAGGGACAGGAGAGCCTCTTTTCAAGCCCGTGAAAGTCAAGTCAAGGCTAAACGAAATCACGGGAAGAGCAGCATCGCAGGAGAAATCCATCCACAAGATCTCCTTCTGGCCAAAGAGCGGTCGACGTGGCGCTGAACCAAGCCGGGGTGGGGGGATCCGAGGGTGAGGCTTAAGAGGCTGTCGGGTTTAATTAGGATTTTTTTCCCTCCTTCCTCAGCTCACAGCAGCTTATCAAAATGCAGCAGCAACCTAGAGGGATGCCTGTGCGTTTCAATCCCCAAATTTCCTAGCATTTCAAACAGCTTTTAGATTTCTAATATTATTAAGGCAGAGGCAGGGGGAAAAAAAAGCGGGGGAAAGCAAAACAGCATTGCAGAGAGATCTCCTCTGGCACTCCCTAATTATGCTGTGTAAAAAGATGCAGCAGCAAAGCCTCTGAGGTGTCTTCTCCTTGGCATTGTGTGTGTGTGTGTCTCCCTCTCTCTCTGTATGCAGCAAGTGGAGAGTTTAAAATAAGAAAAGGTTGAGATGTTGATCTATTTCCAAGCCAGCAGTCGTGATTTGATACGGGTGAACCTGAAACTCAAGAAGCTGCTGGAGAACTTTGAACAAAGCAAGGCTGTTACACCTGGACACAAAGAGGAGGAGCCCAAAACCTTGGAGGAAGAGGAAAATGTAACCCCTTCCCACCCCACCCCACCTTGTTTAAAAAAGGATGCAGGAAGGAAGGCGGTCTCATAGGAGACACATTGAGGTTTCCAAAAATATTCCAAGATGGTAGAGGATGAGGGGGAAAGGGAGAAGGTGACCCAACTGATCTTAAGCTTTGGTCATCTCTTTTGGTCGGAGCAAAGCCGCTTCCCCTCCCTCCACAATTAGGAAGTCCCAGCTTAAAGCTGACAAGGGATTATGATGCAGAATCAAAAAACTGGGTTCCATTTTCCTCCTTTTGACCGGCCCAGTTGGTTGCTTTACAGAACAAAATTTATTAGACTTATCTGATGATGAAATTGCTGGTTGGCCGCCGGGGAGGAAGCCAAGAGGGCCTTTTGTGGGAGGAAAATATGAGATAGGGACAGAATGGTGCACCGAAAAAGAAATCGAGAGCCGTGTGTGCATGTATGAACTAGGAGCAAGCAATGAGGGGGTTAGCAACCCTGTCCTTGTCTGCTCAACATCGAAAAGGGGATTGTGGGTAAGAAGGGCTCAAGGTCTTCTGGACACCCCCCTCCCCCGAAGAGCAAAAGATGCGTTGGCCATCAATGAGCACAGAAAACAAGAAGAGCTCTTACAAACTGTATTTCCCCACCCCTTCAAGTTACATTTCAGCCCTCCAAAAGTTTTAAAAAACAGAGACACTCACTTTGCTTTTCTTAACAGTTTGCAAACGCCGAGCACCACACCACAGCCTGGAGCAACGTTGCCTATTCAACCCACCCAGTGACCAGACTGATCCTCAAATGGGCTTCCTTGAGGACCACCTTTTTTTTCCAGAGGTTTACCCTGTTGGCACCGATCCTAGACCGGCACCAGTTGTTCAACATCTCATCCCTATGCAATGCAGAAGGACAGCACTGGAAACAGGGCTGGGGCAGAGTGAGCAGCCCTTTGCAAATGGATTTGGGAGCAGAACTTCTGCAACAGGCAGGAGAGAACGGCAGTGCAGCTTTTGGGGGAAAAAAGAGTCACCGAATTGGGAGCAATGCTCAGAGAGACAAAGTAGCGTTACTGAGGATGGAGAATTTTTCACAAGCACGCTTCGTTTCGGGGGAGCACTAAGTTCTGGGAAGAGTACCACTGAAGAATATTAAAAATAAGTTAATAAAGCAAACACACAGCATTCCGGGCGATGATGGAATTTAAGTTGCTCCTGACAACAAAGCCACAGTCCAAATTGTACCATTTATTGAAAAGGAGTGTTAGATGCAAACATCAGTTTGAGCTTCTGGTGAAGACAATTTCCCATAATGCAAGGAAGAGAATCTGGAGTCCCTGCAACGTGGAAACTAAGTATAACCTGGAAAACAAAAATCTGTCCTTTTCAAGAACTGACCTTCTGCATCCATATTTAAAAAAACAGAACAAAACAAAAATCCTAACTTTCTAGAGGAACTGAAGTTTTACTGAAAGGGTAAACTACATTTATTGCTGATTTCCCAAGTGGGTCGCCATTGGCGCCCAAGAAACGAAGCTTAATTTTCAACCCCTGCAAACCTGCAAATCGAATCTCATTTCTCCTAGGCTGTCTGAAGGTATCCTTCTGCTCACACTGAGACTGCGAAAAACATCTGGGAAGCTCAAACCTTTGCTCGACATAATGGTTTCCACTCAACCTTCAGAGCTTTGCTGGAAGATATTAGCAGTGGAACCTCCCCAGCGCCTTCTTAAAAGAAATATGCGGATGAAGCTTTTGGATCCTAATACCCTGGTGAGCCAAGGCCTATAATTAATACTGTGAATTGGTTATGCCACCTGCAGCCTTTGAGAGTAGATTTTTCCGCCCCAAAAAAGTATGCTCGGGAATAAGATCAATAGCCACGGAAAAGCAGGCTGGATTTGAAGGTGAGGGTCACAGATTTTGGAACCCATGAATGCCTGCAGAGTGTCAGCAAATCTCGCCACAGGCACAAACGCGCCTTCTTGTTTCTTGTCAGAGATTCACCACCTCAGTTCTGGGCTTCTGATCCTCCCAGCCTGGATAGACTCCAAAAAACCACCAGATTTCGAGCAGCAATTTCTGAGAGACAGCAGAGGAAATGTTAGCGGTAGGACAGATTTTGCGATCCGCTGGAAGTCAGCAGTTAACGCCAGCTTCTTCTGAGAGGCAAGCAAGCTTATAATAAATAGAGCAAAAGATCTGTCTCTCCCACCGTCTCAAGAAATGAGAAGCGATAACGAAAACACACAACCCCCCTCTCCCCCTCCGTCCCCCCTCAGTTTCCAGCAAAGGAAAACACTGATGTCAGCAAAACACCTGCGAGCCTCTCATCTTGCAAACAGCCACCCCAGTCCTCTTCCAGTTGCGCACAACCCAGCCCCTCTCCAAAAACACACAAGCATGACCTAGATAAGCATTGGAGCCTGAAGGCTTTACAAGCAGGACATCAGCAACCATTCATAAAAAAGCAAAATGAAACATGAGCGGAGGGCCTGTCAGGTTTTCTCCTTTTCCCCTGCCAATCAGTTCACTTTTTGGGGTGGGTGGGGGGGGTAAGCCAATCATAAATGCATTCCTGGAGTTATCCTGGATCAGCGACAGACCTACTGAACCAACATAGGGGTACAGAGCAGAGGGCTGTGAAATGCATTCAGAAGGCTGGGTGTGAGGGGCACGGAATTTAGAGCAGGGGAAGCTATCATGGGAACACACCAACTTTATGGGAGGGCAAAGGAATTTGGGGATGTCCTGTCATCTCCTTCAACCGCCAAACGCTTCGTTTGCCCTGTTCCAGTTCTATATTGCACAAAGAGCCGCTCAAGTTACTGTCTTCTGTCTTCGGTCTCCGATCTGGAAAATGCCATCACGCCATCCTCCGCACCTGTAGCACAAAAGGAAAAGAGAGAACGTGGGCAAGGCTGGCCAGGTTGGCTTCTTTCGTTTAGGGCCAACAATGAGGGCTGCAGTCTGCAAAGGTCCTCTGGTAGCTAGAAGGGGCTGTCCAAGATCTCTTGTCCAAGAGAAGATAATCATATACTCTTCTTGATTGACTTTTATCTGCAACTCCTCTAGGAACAGAGCTCAGAAACATATTAAGAAGATTAACGCAGATGTCCTGCCACTCCATAACCATAAAATTTTGCCCTGAATCTATTTAGTCCAGATAATCATGCACAGAACTTTTACGCGGTAAGACACTGAGGTCTACAGAATGACACCGAAAGTCCAACACCTCAAGTACATCTAGGCCACAAAAGGGCTGTCTGAAGACTTAAGACCTCCCCGCAAGAGGGCTTACCTAGGGAAGACCATTGGGAAGAAAAAAACCCAACAGCATGGTAGAAAATGCAAGGCCAGGTACAGCCTGCTGTTTTGAATTCTAGAAGTACCTTCGCAGGGACTTTCCGTGTGAAGCAGAGTTTCCTAGCAACAGCAAGATCCCAGATGACATCATGGAGAGTAGGTGCCAGTTCATTCCCCCATCCTCACCATCTCCCCAAACCCAGGTAATGCTGTTCGTGCTTCAATATTCCCTCACTTTCCTAGACAAAGAGCTCTACTTTTATCCTCTGGAGCAGAGAATAAGATTGACAGGTGAAGGTGATCATAGATAAAAGCAAAATCATTTGCACCAGGCAGGTGAACTGCCTATGGAAACAGGAAAGGTGTGATGGATTTAAACTGCAGTAGTCATAAACAACTGAGAAGATCCAAAGTTTTATGTCTGCAGGACTGGATCAAACTGGGTTCCATTGGCCATCTCTTGTCCTTGCCCCACAGCAAACTTTGATTTTGACACTGCTTCAAGCTTCTTACCATCCTGCTAGAATGTTTCCTCCCTTTTGCTCCCAAGCGGAACTCAGCTAATGTCTACATTCTCTTACCTTTTTCTCTCTCACACAAGCATACCGCATCACACGAGGGCAGGCTGGGGAAAGCAGCAAAATACAAAGCAGCTGCTTGGATCCATTTGGGGGAAAATAAATATTTTGAAAGGAGGTAAAATAGGAGATATCTGAATGCCAACCTTTGATGGACAAGGCAGCTTGTTGGCCAACAGTTGGCCTCACCCATTGCAACCTGTTGCTCCCGAAATGTCTTCAGTATCCCCCTTCCCCATTTCACATGTGATAAGCAATTGCTTTTCACTACTTCTGTGCATTTCCTGTCTTTATTTTGTTAAAGACTTAGGTTGATGTGAGATGCCTGCCACTGGATCGAGGGGACAAACCCACAAAACCTAAACCCTGCATTGACCCCTTGACTTTGCCTGTTGATCAGCATGAACACATACAGACTTCAGCTAACTGAAGGTGACATGTGTCAGCCACGGCTGCCTTGCAAATGGATGCCCTCCAGTTGGTTGACTGCCCCCATTCTGCGGCAGTTTCAACACCCAGATGATGCCGAAGCAAGGCCGAGTAGCTCACGTGAACTGTGTCTGGGCTAGAAAACAGCAGGTATAACAAATTATAGAGTCGGTTATAGCTCACTAACAACATAACTTTTGAAGTGACTTTGGTTTTTGGGAAGGTCCTGTAACAATTAGGAAACAAGGTGTGCCTTTTTATAACCAGCTCTATGAACAGACTCCTCTTCTCAAATTCACCACTAATGCTACAAACTAAGGAAATCAGGACGAAGGTTTTCCACGCTGATTTCAGTCTTACAATCACACAATCGGATAGGTTAGTCTATCTACAGACCGCACTCAGGACCGCCCCACTTAGCCACCCCAAAGCATCTCTAGATACCTGAGAGCACGTTCAGTGGTGGCTTCAAATAACTCAAGGCATCATTTTTTAAACAAGGGGTTTCAAAAGCTTTTCCAATTCAGCACGCTCAGGTTGCATTTGGACTGTGTCTCACAAATCCTTGGCCAACATCCTGACTGGGAATTCTGGGAGCCGTAGTCTCCATACCCCAGACAGCCATTGCAAAAAGGTGGGAAAACATGGCATCCATGCTCAACAGACCTAAGTAATTTTAACAAGCTTCCTTTGCCTTCCTGCAAGTGGGGAGTAAAGAAAGATGTAGTTCTCAGACTTAACAGGGTAGATGTACTTTCTGTTGCATCTGCTTTCATGCAGTGTTTGCATATAGAGGTAACTTGAGTAAGACAACTGCATAACATGTCATCCAGATTCTCACAATTTCCCTCTGGGTTCTTCTCCCACCTCAAGGGGATTTTCTCCCTCTAAAAGAGTGCTTGTGGAATGGCCTTATTGTTCACTTCTAGCCTACCTGCCCAGCCGATGTTTGCATCTCAGCTCTGTGCTCCCCAAGGGACCCGGCTTTCTCCACGAACCAGCCAAGCTCTATCGCTATAGCAACCAGAGCTGCTGAAGCCACCAAGGTTGGTCCTGCCACTGAAGTGGAAACCATCCAGGGTTCCAGCCTTGCTAGCCAACAGCTCTGCCAAACTCCAACCCCCATTTCATTTAACAAACACGGATCCAGATGTGCCGTAGAGTGTACCAGGCGCTCCTAGAGAGAGATGGAAAGCAGCATTATGGCTTAACCCTTCAGGAATAGCTTCTCCTTGCTCCCTCTTTAACGGGCAGAGCGCTAATGCAGAAAAGATCAAAACAGACTGAGAAGGAAGGCAGGTTGCTAGCATTCCCCCAGCTCTGCGCTTATACAGATCAGCTCTGCTGTTTTGTACGTCTAAGCCAGGTCAAAAGAGAAACCCCAAAGCCTTTGGTTCACAATGCCCTTTGGTGGTCAGGATTGCATTCGTTCCCTTCTATCGCTACTGCCCTTCAGCCTTTTCAGACTTGCAAACGGGGCAGCAGTTCACGCTCACAAGCGACACCTAAACCCAGCAGAAACCGGAGGGCGCCCACTTGCGAGGCAGCCATTGTAAAGCAGCAGCACAGGCACGGCCAGAAAGCGTGCTTTATGAATTTTGCCCATCGACTGCCAGCCGGAGAAAACCGGAATGCAGGCTCTTTCAGCAGCAGGGAGGAAGCAGTTCTATAAACTGCACCAGATCAAGCTCTGGGGGAAATAACATCTGGGAATATCCACGGAAGATGGAGTGAATCATCAGGTTTGCAAATACGAATAATCCGAAGTTCCCAGGTCACTTTCGGAGCAGGCATAAAATCAGTGCCATGAACCGTTGGATCTTTGCTGCCCAGAAATCTTGTTCTGAAAGTAAGTTCTCTACACCACACATCTTGAGATTTAGGGAGAGAACACACATTTTTCAACTGAGAGTAAATGTGTGTGCACTTTATAAGGTTTTCTATGAAGATGCTGCCATCTAGTGGCCAACTCTTCCACTCAGTTGCCTGATTTTAGTCTTTTTGGTCTGTTCTCTCATCAAGGAAATGCAGAATTTTATTTACCTCCCTAATGAGCTCTTTGCTCATCTATGGATATAATTATTTGATGGATTAAAACCTTTGAGAAAGAAATCCTACTAGTCATCAAGCTTTAACGGGACAGATTAATGCTCAGCTATCCTTACTTAGGAGAATAATAAATCCTGAAAGGTGGTTCGAAATCCATTAAATAAATCAGTAACTATATTGTGCTTCAATTTATAGATCCCCACAGCAGTCTGAGGTAAGTACTAATGGAGAATCATGGTCTAACATTAAAAAAACAAAGGAGGGTTTTCATTCATGTACATTCGGTTTAAAAGCTGACTGGTAAATTAACATTAATTCAAAATGCTCGGTTTTCAAAGTGATAAAAACTAAACTAAGCAAGATAGATCTGGTGGGGCTATAACGCTCCTTCTTGACTTCTGACTTATAGCATAAAAAGAAAGGAAAAATGTGCGCTGGTCCATAATTCCATACCAGAATTTCTTGTACTTGCAATCGCAATCAATCATACATTTCAATTTGTTCTGAGTAATCTTTTAGACATCCAAGAGGTAACTGGAAGCCTGTCTCCATTAACATTACATAGCCAAAGGGTTCTGGTTAAGTAATCCATTTCATGTCACTGTCTTTGTGGGTAATTCTACTGCTCCACCTCTGAGAACCTGAGGGATAATATACTTAATCTCCCCACCACCCTTTCCTTATCCCCAAATCACGTCCAGTTCTGGTGTTCCAAAGAACGCAAGCCAGTGTCAGCAGGTGGCTGCTCACACTATGGAGGGGAGCTGCGGTATCAGACTTATAACCGTTTTCAGCAACCTCCCCGGCCACTTTGCCGAAAGCCAAAAAAAAGATCAAATGGTGAGGCTTTTCCAGCAAGCTTTCCTGCTGACTGTTGGAGCAATTCAAGTCTCTGTGGCTCTGGCTCCTTTTGGATCCTCGAGCATCTCCAGGAGGCTTAAAGCGACTTCACTGACCCGCTTTTGAGAGTCACGTATATGGCACTACAAGCCAGAAAAGGACAAACCCAAAGCGGGGCTCCACCTCAATTCTGAAAACCAGGAGCCAGGAATTAGCTTAAATGACAAAGAAAGGTATCCAGGTATGTGGGTTACATCTCAAGTCAGGAGAAAGAGAACACCACCATTGTGGTTTTACTATTTTTGTTGTTTTAACATCAGAACTAAAAGCTGCTTCTGTGTTGGTCATTTATAGCAAAAAGGTATAAATTGTTACTCACCTTGGTCAATAGAGTGCTGAGGAAGCTGGCTAAGCTGGCTATTCACTACTCCTGCGTATGTCCGCAAGAACTCCTCTTCACTGGTGGTTAACTGGAAAAGGGCATGACAAACTCAGTCTCCATTATGGCAGAAGGCAAACTCGCTGGTAGACCAATTTCCCGCCCTCTTGCTTTTCAAGCTGATGGCTTGTTGCAAAGTGATTGCACTTGGCAAAAATTGCACCAGCAGCTTATGGAATGATCCTCATGATATTGCACAGAACTTGTGCATAAGGATTGGGATTAATATCGCTAACCCCTTACAGGGTTCTAGAGTGGTAACTGGAAATAATTTGGAAATAACTCAGTGATTCCTCTGGTGACTGGCAACACATAATAAGTATCTTCAAGAAAATCAACAGGTAAACCCTTGTAAACCAGAAGGTAAAAATTCCTGGCTGTTCATTTTTATGAGCTCATTGGTAAGTTGTCTGAATACTTACATTTGATCCCATCTTCCTAAGCATTAGCAGGACTCTCACTTTCTGCTGAATATACATCTCCTCCGGACTCTTCCCAGGAACAGCTTCACGGTTCATTCCCTTTTTTCCAGTTTCTAAGATTTCTGAAGGGACGATGAGACAAAAATATTTACTGTACTAGATTCATCCTCGAGACAGAAGATGCTGTGCAGTGCCAACTGCTAAAAACCATCACTACGTCTTGCCAAAAGAAACTCTTCTCTTCTGTCCAGGGCACACACTATGGATGCCCTTCAGTTTGGTGGAATAGATTGCCACATAAGGGGTGCGTTCCCCTTCGCTTGGGGCCTTTGGGCAGAAGCCAGATGGTTGTCTGTTAGAGACCTCTAGCAGATCCTGCAACAAGCAGGGGACGGGACTAGATTACCTCTTAAGATTCCTTCCAATATGACTTAATTATTCTATAACACAGAAATGAGGCTCCTTTTTCATTCTACTCAATGACGCTCAGAACAAGTCACACGTTTAGGGTATTTCAGGTGTTTGCTGCCACTTTCCAAACGGCATAAAGTAATGACAAACTCACCAGAGTATTTGATTCTGATCTGTTCTCTCAGCTGGGAAACGCCACAAACAGCAACCCTGTGAGAACAAAGCAGTGATTTTTAATATATGTCCCAAACTAGTGCTGAATATGTTAAATATCCAGCATTCATTCAAGTCTTGCCTAGTGAAAAATGCAAGTTGTTCTCTATACAATGTTTGTATGTTAGCTCTAATTAGTTTCGTTCTTTTAATGCTAAATTAAAGATTTCAGTTCCTGGAGGAAAAGTTTTGTCATCAAAAACAGGAGCACACTTAAAAGACAAACAGTTTACTTGTTGGTAATAAGGTAGTCAAACAGGAAGAAGGGGATGCTTGTTTTAATGAAAACTGTTTTACAGTAATGACAACTGTTTTGTTCAGAATAGCTTTGCAGAGCACATAGACACATGGCATGCAGATAAAATGCTTCTTAATGTGCATATACCTATCTATCAGTCCACAATCATTTTAGCGACAACAAAAATCGCATAAACTGTGCAGCCTACGTAAGGCGTGTTTCCATTCTCAGCTCAGGTATCCTAGGAGATCAATGCCTGCCTTCCTTCAGCTGTCATTACTGATCAAATAACCAAGGAATTTCCAGGAACTCTTCGGCTTCAAAAGCTCCTTAAAAGTTTGAAAATGACAGAGCTAAAGGACATGCATACAGCATGTCAGTTTTGACCAGAAGGCACAGGCTGACAATGCGCCGAGTCAGCTTATTTCTACTACCCACAAAACATCTAAAAAAAAAAGCCAAACTATTCCCCAGAAAGTCTCCATCAGATGGGATACTGAAGATTAGTCGTACCAATCTTTACCGTAGAACAAGAATAAAACTAGACTTAAAGAAGCTAATCAGCAGCTCTTCAGGGAAAACAAAACCAGAAATTATTTTGACTTCAGAAGGCAAAACTTCTCCCATAAAAAAGCTACTTTAAAATCTTTGCAAATTAACTTTCCCTGTCTTTGCTATCTTAATATATAACCGAGCCCCAGGATATCTGACAAAAGAGCTATTTACAGTAATCAGCTCCTCTTCCATTTTCTGTCAATTATAAAAAATCTCCTCCAAGAAAAGCTCAAAACCACGAAGAACCTGTATATGCGAGTTACAGATATGTCGTGACAAAAATATTAGAAATACATGAAATACCAGTAACAGCTAATATTGCCAGTATCGTTTGTCACCGCTACGTCAGAAACTTTTTGAAGGACTGTAATAAACAGGAGTATTGATCCACTACAATTTTGTTTGAACAAGCAATTCAACAAGCAAATATTTCACTGACTTAGCAGAGATTAATTCAGTTAAAAACTACACGTAACTGAAAACTATACTCGATACATTAGGATTTTCTTCCCCAACCTAGGCATCTTTCAGATATATGTATGTCAGTTCTCAGAATCCCCTCAGCCAACATGATTTGGATTATTCCTAGGTTAGTTGAGCAGGTTTTCTTTCGAGAATAATCTGTACGGAGAGTTGAAGCAAGGACTTGGTATGAAAATTCTCCTTTCCTACAAAATTTTTTTTTTTTCTCCCTCGGACATCCATCCTATTGGTTTGAGTGATACCATAGTCTCTTCCTCTTTCCTCACACAGCCAAATGAGGGTGAAGGAACTTTTCTCTCCCCAGCATTTTACAAGTGAAGCTTGGGATTTCAGTGAAAAATAAAAAACGTACAACTAGTTTCAACTCCCAATAAACAAAGTATGCCCAAGTATCTGTAACGGGATATTTTGAGGGGAATATAGGGTGTGTATAGATGATTATGGTCCCAAAAGCAACCAGCAATGTTCAACAAGACAGCTGTACAACAGCTGACCCACCACCAGGGCCTGTAACATTGCTCGCTGCGAGTCTAAGCTAATAAAAGAAGAATCTCACACACACACACACACACACACAGTGCTGAGTTGTTTCCTCAAATTGTTAGCCCAAGATTAAAAAAGATTAACCGCTGTACCTTCGCAGGGCCCTTTAATAGTTACAATATGGTTATACTTGTCAGGGCACAAGAGCTGCAACTTTCTTCTTTCACGGGAAGATCTTCCAATGAACACTGGAACACTGAAACTAGAGTTCCCTTGTCTACACTCCTCATGGACCTTTTTTTCCCATTCATTCAGTCTGATTCATGACCTTGAACCACAAGCAGATTGAGACTGAATTAATTCTCATCCCATTTCTATAGGGACGCCTGCAATGCAGAATGCAGACAGCTATCCATTTATAACTGAAAAGTAAGATCTGGATGCTTTAAAATTACAAACTTCTCAGGGACTCGGGTCTCTTGATAAAGGGCTTCAGCTACGTTTGACTTCAAATGGAATAATCCAAAGATTGTTTCCACCATGTTTCCAAGGGCTACTTTAAATTGTAGACAAAGTTTGCACAGTTCTCATAAAAAAAATAAAAATAAAAGAAGCAGCAGTTAACTGTACTTTTAAGAATGTATATATCCAAAACAGGAAAGGAGTTCATTTCCTGGATATGATCCCTGCACTTCTATAGCTTCTTTCATGAAAAGATTTTGACAAACAGTGAGAGCAATTATGAAGTTAAATTCAAGAACTCAAGAACTCATTATGAAGTTAAATTCAAGTAATTTTGTTGGACCACATGAAGGCAAGGCACCTATGGATTATTGCTGGAATTATTATTCTCCTCAACCCTTAAATTATATGCAAGCTGTTATTTGTGCAAACAATCCATTGCACGAGGCTGCCTCCATTGTATTCCAGGTCAACTAACTGACGTTTCTAGCCTTCTTAAGGTCAGTAGTAATTCCTGTCGAGGTCAGGAAACAGGAGCTGTTAGGAATCTTGGAATGTTTTTTAATGTGGTTAAGGTATTGTAAGAATTCAATAGAAAGAATACAACAGAAAGCCTTCTTCAACTTACACTGAGTGCAATCAAGGCCCAGAACTCAAAATACCCTTTTAATAACAGCTCAATATTGTCTTCCCCATTCTCTGAGTCAAATCCATATTCTGTCATAATTCCAGATAGGAAAAGTGCAATTGAATTCCACCTTCAGGCTTAAAGCTGGAACTATAACAAGTACATAAACCATATAGCCATCAAAACCATGCAGCGAGGTGGAATTTCACGCAGTATTTAACTGTCACTGGGTTTTGTCAACAAATATTCTTGGTAACGAAATTTATGTTAATTTACTAAATATACTTACTTACAGAGGAAGTTATTTTTATCGTCCATAATGACAAAAATCAAATTATTCTTAACCATGAGAAAAACGCATGGAATAAGTATGTCACAGTCCCTGTTATTTCAAAAGTTAAAAGTGGAAACTCTTGTTTTTACCAAGAATTGGTATGGACAACGGAATCCATAAAGTACTCCCGAATATATGACTGTGCAATTCCCCAGAATTATACAAAGGTGTCCCAAGTCAAATATGCATATTTTTTTAACACTTGCAACTAAGAGTCAAATAGCTATTTTAGGCAAAACTGAGAAACCTAACATACCATTAGGATTCCCCATAAAAAAAAACCCATATCCAACTTGGACAAGACAAAACAGAACAATTTCCTTGGGAAATTGGGTGGGGTGGGGTG